ATCCATAGGACAGCACTTTACAAGATCCTGACATGGCTAGCCCAGGGAGATTCTGGCTGTGGGTCCATGTCCAGTCACAGACTCACTCCAGGAGAAACTGTTGTTTGGGGCCAAAGAATGGCAGGCAGCGAATCTTACGATTGCTGCCGTCTTCTCAGAGGAAGGCAAGACGGGCACTGTCGGCTCCAACAGGCAGCTCAGACAAAGCTAAGGGCCACAACAAAATCTTCCCCACCCCCACTCTTTTCTAATGTTCCTGCCTGAGTGACACAGAGTACTGAGGAAGGTCTGCTGGCAGTAAGGATGTGCTGCCTGCTTCTGGTTGGGGCTGAGGGCCTTTGACAGGGGCTGCCACTGCCAAGCTGACCCTGGTCTGGGAATAACTAACGCCCTACAGTCAGCCAATACCTTTTACCAGCACTGAACACGCCTCGGGAAACAGAAAGCAAAAAAGAAATCCCACACCTTATTCCCCTATTCCCAGGAAACGGGAACAAGTTTTTGCAGGCTGCTTTCAGCAGCCAGCCCTTCGTGATCCTGTCCTTGTCCTTTCTCTGCAGTCATAGCCACGGAGATAGTCCTCGGAGCCAGCTGTTCCCTGCACCAACCACCTGGCCAAATGCAGAACATTAACAAGGACAAGCACAGATTAGGGCTGGGCTACACATAGTCCATATCCCGTTAACAATATCTGTTCAGAAGCCCCTACAGCTAAATCAGTGTCCCCCCTTCCCACCCCCAAAAAATTACAGGATACTTGTATGGGTACAGCTGCTCCTTTATATGCATAATTTGATAATGCAATCAATGCAAACACTGCGTGTAGAGCAAGCCTTAGTCATGTTTGTCTAAGTAGTAACACATCTGCTCCCTTGTTCCAGTGCCAGAAAGCAGGGCCTCTTCCCCTTCACACACGCACACACTTGGGCCTTCGTGCCCTCCCTGCTTTGCTCAGCCCTGACGCCGCCTGCCTGGATTCTGTGGAGAGAGTAAACTGAAGGGTTCCCTCTGTTCATTGGTAGACTCCCTGAGCCCTCTGGGTCCTGGGAACTCAGACACTGATGCACGTCCGGCACTGAGTTGGTTTTCTTTGCTCCATTATCTGGACTTTTCTCCATACTTTCTCTTTCCATTTTTCCTTTCTCTCTTTGTTTAGCTTGGAGCATGACTTCTGAAAAATCACTTTCTGATTCACCGGCCACAGGCCCTGACCAATACCGGGGATGAAGCGAGATCCGTTTACTCAAGCAGGCAATGAGGCCATTTCTTCCCCTGCTATCAGTAATAGGAAATGATTTCAAATGGGGGGGAAGAATGGGTACAAAAATTGTCTCGGGCTAAGAGCAGACTGAGTTCAATCAGGTCAAGTCAGTGCTTCTCCTTGATAACGGCGCCTTCGCAGCACGGTATCTCTCTTTCCAGCAGTCCTGAGTCCTAGTGCTCTGTTCTAGCCATTAACCCCCACTCAGTGCAAGAGATGGAACGGGGCTGTCCTGAGGGAGGTGCGGAGCCTGGGACAACCCCCCCACCTATACCGCAGGAGTTGGGTCCGGGGCAACCCCCCCGCTACAGGCCCCGCCCTGTCCCTTCCCCCAGCCCACTCCTGCTCTGCCGCCACACTTCCTCTCCTGAGCAACACAGTCCAGGGGATTACAGAGGGCCTGGCAAGGTGGCAACAGCAGGGGTTGCTTCCCTCACCATATGGGTGGCAAGAGCCGGAGCAGCCCGGCAACCTGCTCCACCCCACTCCACCCCTCTCCTGGCCCACTGTGCCCTGCTTCTCCATAGCTACAGGAAGTGGAGCACCCTGGGGCTGGAGCGCTCTGCTTCCTGCTACTGCTGAGAAGCTGCGTTCAGTGTCCCGGCAGTGGGCAGCACATGGGCTGGATTAAGGCATGAGCTAGCCGGGCAGCTGCCCGTGGCGCCAACCTATGGAGGGTGCCTGATGGCAACTGTAAGGGGTGCACAGCACCTCTTATAGCTGCTATCAAGTGTCGCGCGCCCAGCTCCCAGATTATGGGCTGCAGCAGCTCCCAGCGGCCACCCTGCAGCGGCCGCCCGGAGCAGGGGCCACGTTAACCCCCGCAGTGCCAGCCAGCAGCGCCCTTCCCCCTGCGGCCCTTCACAGCCAGGCTCTGCCCGCCCCGGGCAGCCTCGGGTTGCGCACCAGCAGCGGTAGCCGGGCCAGGCCATGCACATGCATCCTGCTGCTACCAGCTCCGCTCACCCTCCCCCACGCACTGGGCGGGGGCGGAGCCATGCATGCACACTCCCTCACATGCCATCGCAGGGGCGAGGCCATGCATGCGCCCTCCCCCAACCCCGAGCGCAATTAAATTGTCTGCCCGCCCCGGGCAGCCCCGGGCTGCGCACCAGCAGCGGTAGCCGGGCCAGGCCATGCACATGCATCCTGCTGCTACCAGCTCCGCTCACCCTCCCCCACGCACTGGGCGGGGGCGGAGCCATGCATGCACACTCCCTCACATGCCATCGCAGGGGCGAGGCCATGCATGCGCCCTCCCCCAACCCCGAGCGCAATTAAATTGTCTGCCCGGAGCGCCGGAATGGCTTGTGCCGTCCCTGGGCAGCATGACAGGGTTGGTGGAGTAGAGCAGGCTGTCAGACTGCTCCAGCTCCTGCCACCCAGGTGATGAGTGGGGAGAGGCCCTGCTGCCTCCACGCCAGGCCCCCGCCAGACCGGTGTTGAACTGGGCATGCACATGGTCTGGGAAGTCCCCGAGTCCCATATGCTTTATGGCAATGTATGCACGAGACTAGCTCTGTATCTTGCTGGGTCCCTCAAAAACCTTGGCAACTCCCTTTATTTCAAACAGTGGAGCAAGAGCTCTTGCATCTCCAAGTAGTGTTGCCTAATAGCTAGAGCAAGACTTCTGTGTTCTGTTTCCAGCTCAGGGAGGGCCCTGAGGGTATGTCTACACTACCCCGCTAGTTCGAACTAGCGGGGTAGTGTAGACATACCCTCAGGGCCCTCCCTGAGCTGGAAACAGAACACAGAAGTCTTGCTCTAGCTATTAGGCAACACTACTTGGAGATGCAAGAGCTCTTGCTCCACTGTTTGAAATAAAGGGAGTTGCCAAGGTTTTTGAGGGACCCAGCAAGATACAGAGCTAGTCTCGTGCATACATTGCCATAAAGCATATGGGACTCGGGGACTTCCCAGACCA